GCCCTGCATTTCATGTACTTGAGCAGAGCTTGGTTTGCGATTTGCAAAGGTAATTGCTGTTATTTGACCCGTAGGAAATGAGTTTGTCATGTTAAGTGCTCACGCAATTAGTCACTGACTAGAAGCCTCAGCAAATAGCAAAACGCTGAATGAGCTACAGATAGAAGAATGAATTAGTGTGTTGCTCTCTTCATCCTTTCAAGGATGACATTTCTTTGAGGCAGTCTGAAACGTTTGAATTGCTATGGTCCAAGCAGTATTTATTCTGCAAATAAAGTGTGAACATCTCTCCAGCAAGCCCTAACCTATATTTTGGAAACAGGTAGAGAAATGTGAATGTATTTTATTACATCCACAGTTCTAGGTTAGCAGAGACCCACATTACATCCCGCTGGACTTGACAGTGGGTAGTTGATTATTTTACCCTAACAATCAAGGTGTAAAAAAAGAAAAGTTTCTAATTACCTAATACCTCGTCATCTAACTGCGTGAATGACTATAGGTCTTTAATGGTGAGCTCCCTTCAGTTGATAAACAAAATCAATACTTCCAAATAAATGTATGCTCTGGTTGTAATTTTGTACTCCGAACCATGAAGATGTTGCTTACATGGTAATGTTTATAATGAAACCAGATTTTCATGAAATAGTAGTTCTAAAAATACGTGTCACTATTAACTAAATCATTGGAAAGTTAATGCCAGCACTGCTGTGATGTTTTCTTCTCTACCAGCCTGTCCCTTATCAGCTGGTGCTGTCTGCCACAGGCGCGTGGCATTTCTCTCCAAAAAATGTTCCAAAAACCATGGGAGACCAGTGCAGGGGCGGTGGGGAGGAGAGAGGGCAAGAGGATCTGCCACACCAAAGGGAGAGCTGGAGGCAGTAGATAAGGGAACATTTGAGAAGACGAATTTTTTCTGTGGAAAATAACCATTGAAAAAGGAGAGAGAGTTAGGATATAGAAATAGGTGAGGCCCAGAAGAAGGAAATGAGATTCATGGCAGAAAAAGCTATGCAGATCCTGGAGTGCTGTGTGCTGACCTTGCTTCCTTAGGAGCTTGGTCGAAACCAAGAAACACTGAAAAGGTTAAAATAAAACAAGCAAACTTTTTAGGTTTGTGTTGTATGTTTCCAGACAACTACAAGCAGTCCTGAGTCTCTAGATTAATCACTTGCTTTGCATAATCATAAATTATACATATGTGTTTTAATAAGTATTAAAAAGGGTGACGTGATGTAATTTAAGGATTAAATTTTGCCCTTGAATGTTTGTGAAGCTCATTATTGGGAAGCATGTTGTGTATTCTGGGAAGAAATTTGACCCTGTTGTTATAATTTCATCTTGTACAAAGCTGATACAGTAATAACTTAGATTTCCTATTGGAGCATCAAATTTAAAGTTACTTTTTCTGCAAAACAGCTGGAATTTCTCATTGTCACAGGCAGAGGAAGGCAATGTCAGATGCATTTTACTACAAGAGTGTCCAAGTACAGCTGATCGGACTAGGTGGTCTTTGTATAGTGTTCAAGGATGGACGGGAGATATTCATATATACCAGTTTTACCTTAGAATGACGGTACACCTGAGCTTGTTCTGTAGGTGGTGGATTTGTGGTGGAGACACTCCTATATGTTAGCCTCCATCAGGGTAATGCCTACCTCTTGAATTAAAGCAATTGGAATAGGAATACAGGTAGTGGTAGAAATTGAAGGATAATCTGTAGTAAAGATCTATAGTTCACTTTATGTTTGTCATTAAGGATAAAAATACTGTATTAATGTCAATCCTTTAATGCTTGTCCACGTCTAATCACTGCTTGTTCCTGTGTCTGTAATAGGGAAAACAAGATACGTAACAGAGATGTGTGATGCTGGGTCCTGGGGGCAGCGTCTGCCCTCTCTGGGGATGGGCTTTCCCCATCCCTCAGTGTCCCCATGCCAGGGTTTGCTTGGGGAGCGGTGAGCCAAGAAATACAAACAAATTCCTGCAGAAGAAATAGCTGCTCTTCCCTCTGGCTCTGGGGGCTTGGTAAAAACTCTCCAGTGAGAGAGACCCAGTAAGCATTGACCAATATTGCTTTTGTCTTTTCCTTTATTTTTAACAAATCCTGCCAATCTCCAGCCTCCTAACTTCATCAGTACCAAGACTTCTGAATTTTCAGATATCGATATCAAACCACTTGTGTGGATTTAAGAAATACATAACAGACTCGAAGTCCAGATGAGGACAGCAGCTTTTCATGTATGTGATAATGCATGTGGAAAATATTTTGTTCTTTCAGTCATAACATATGCAAACAAAGAATATAGCTTTTTCTCTTAGCAAAATATTTCCTTTCAATTTCTTTGGTTATTGGAAGTGCATGTAGTCTAATTCACTAAGTCTCCTTGTGCTCCATCTTTTTGTTGCTTGGTGACAGTGGTGCCACGCACTCATAAAACTGCTCTAGTAAATAATTAAGTGGGCTTACTGTGCACTTACTTGATGCTGTATACAATTACTGAGGTCAGTCTGGGTCACTTACGCTGTGTAATAGTTGTCGGCGGGCTTTTGGGTGACAAGGGGCAGGAAGATGTTCAAAGCGGGCAGACAGCATTCACAGCCCTATCAGCTACACCTAGGAGTTGTCTTTGGTATAGTAACTCAGGGTGGATGTGCAAAACATTTTTTGCATGTCTAAACCTGAAGGCACACTTAATTTTTGCCCTGCGTGCTTATAGTTTTTCATTCTGAGCTTTTAAAAATTATTTTTTGGTCTTGTTCTTGAATAACTGCAAGGTGATGGTATTTGTCAGCGGCAAAGCCATGGATTAATTTTACTTAGTTTTCACCAAAAAAAAAAGGATTTATACTGTCTCCTGGGGATTCACTCTTAAAAAAAAAAAAAAAGTTACTGCTCATCTTATTGAAGATTTTACTTGAGTAAGTATAAGGGGAAAAAAGTGCAGGCAGCTGTTCTCTTTGCTAGATGTAAAAACTGAGATTCATTTGTTCTTTTCTACTCGGTGACCAAGGCTAAAAGGAATTTGCAGAGAGTGGGAGCTCTTGCTATTTAGTGAGAGTTAAATCCTTTTTGTCATAATCTAAGACATGTTGAGAAACCTGAAAAGTTACTCTTACTGTCAGAAAAGGTTGAAGTAAAAATGGCAGATGCCTTTTTTTGGACTTTACAGTGGAGGAGAAATTTAAAATATAAGAAGTTATTTTCCTTCAACTAGAAATAGGGCAGGATCAGACTCCTTAATTTGTGTCTACAAGAGACTTCTGCCTAAACAACCCTGCAATTACTATAAGTACTTTTTAAAGATTGAAAGATTGTGCTTGTCTCATGAAAAGCTTTGAGAAAGTGGCAGTAGGGTACTTGCCTGTACCTGAGGGTGTGTTGGGTCTGTGTGTTTCACCACAGGGGTTAGAGGTGTTCTCTGTAGCCCAGATGTGCCACCTCCTGGTTTGTTCTAGTGAAGTGTTCTTTGAGAGCAATGCTATTTCTGTAATCATTTCTCTGGTCAGCTATCTTTTAACCAAATAGTTTGCAGAGAGACTTTTTGAAAATTATATATGCAAGATGTCCTTAGACTTAACTTCCTGCAAACCTGGATTTTTTGAAATCATTTTGACCACGGCAGGCTACTGCTGAAGTTTGAAAGCGGTACAGACACAAGGGTCCAGTCTGCCACATGTGCCAAGTTTTTCTGCAAAATCTGTTTGAATTCTCTCGGGTTTAATTGATCTTGTGCAGGAGTGAGAGAAATGGGGATACTCTATGGGACCCCTATGGTTTAGGGGTCTTGGAGGCCGGGGTGTTGCAGGGGTGTAGAAACTTGGGAAACAGCAGAGAGCAAAGGTAGTGCACAGTGTGATACAAGATAGATTATTTATTTTAGGCCTCCTGCAGATAGGATAGTGTTTCCTAACACTTCTATTAAAAATTCTCTCATGCTTTAGAATGAGAATGATATAAAAATGATATAATTAATATGTGGTGCGAAAGGGTGCTGTTTACTGCCTATCGCCGCTGCTTGGGGAACAGGAAAGGCTTTCAGAGCTGCTCCTGTGGCACTCGTCTTTCACACCAAGAAGTAAAGCTGTGAATTCCCTAAATAAACAAAGGACAATGAGATTTAAAAGGAAGTTTTGATACTTTAAGAAAATGCAGTATAGCATAACAAATCCTTATTTCGTTAAAGGCTCTTTATTTCAACGCAGATAAGCATCTTCTAGAGGCATTGTAGATTTTCCTTGTTTCGTCAGGGTGTGTCTCTATGAATTGCCTAGTATGTTAACATACCTGGAGCTAATAAATGAATGAAGGGTGCCAGTCTCCCCTCTATATCTGTCTCGTGCTTTTCTGTGTCCTATCTGAAAGGCAACCTGATACTTCAAGACTAGATTTCACCCTTTACCGTTGCGGTGTGCGTGCTGTCTGAATGAAACGAGTGCTGAGATGTGAGTGTGGTTTGGTCCCTCCTGGAAGGGGGCATCTGTCAAAAAACAGGTTCTCCATGGTTTGTTATTCCCTTATTCAGCATCAGCGTATTATAGCAAAGTGTACTTTGAGAAATAAATATTCAAGTATAATACATTCATTAGCCTATTAGTTTTGTAAATAAGGTGTTTTACCCTTAATTTAAGAAATCCTGATCTAGAGGCTTTGGTACCTAAATCAGTATATGCACTTAAGGCAACCAAGTACCAGAAAATAAGAGGCTAAGTCTGGGTGTCCAAACCAGAATACAGGAAAGCGGCTTTACCTACTGATACCTAAATTTTGGCCCTAGTGGAAGTGAAAAATAAAATGTAAAAAATGCTAATTTCAAAAAAGCCAAGCAAAGTACATGATTATTTTATGTTTAATTATATTTTTGCAACATTATGTGGTGTTACAATGTAATTAGGCAGCCAAATTACAAACTGGAATGCTATAGTACTGTATGAAGAATATATTCCTACTACTCTAAAATAGTTTCTTAAGTGATTTGTTTTTTTCTGCTTCCCTATAGATTAAAGCAAAAAATTATGACAAAGTGGAAAAGGTGAGTCCTATAAATATATGTAATATATCTCTATAGTGAGAGCAAGTATCTTGTGATTAGGCTAAAGCAGATTAAATAGAACTATAGTTGTCGTTGAATATGCTACTCAAAAATACAGATAAGAAGATCACTGAAGTCGATTTGCTGTTGCTACCAAGCCGTAATCAGTGAATTGTGCAGAGGAATTTCTCTGCTTAATTCTCTCCAGTTCCCTTGCATAGCGTGGAGATGCTTTAGTCAAAAGGAGGAGTAGCTTAACTTTTTCTTACAAATCTCAGTCATAATTACAAAGGTTATTTTAATTCATAATGTATAGCTTTAAAAGTAGAAACCTAATTTCTATATCTGGAATCCTGATCACGTCTTCTTGATGTATTAAACAGTTATTTCAGCGATGCCTTATGAAGGTTTTACACATTGATTTATGGAAATGTTACCTTTCCTATGTACGAGAAACCAAGGGGAAGCTACCTAGTTACAAGTAAGTTAACAGAGTTGCTCTGAATTATTCTAGTTTTACTGTGGGTCTCTTCATTTTTGACTAGGGGTGGGGAGGAACCTGGGTGGCAAACTTGCCATGAATGATCTGGTAGAGTGTCAGGGGGATAATATATAATCTGCGTTTAGAAGACATTTTCTTTAAAGTTTCTTTAATTGAGCTTGCTGGGTAAAATTGCTTCCTTAGTCTGGATCCATATGAGGTGGGACAAGAGCGGGGGAGTAGCTGGTGTATCCATGCCGGTTCCCTGCAGATGGGATTGGTGTTTGAGCCAGTCTGAGACACACTTCTTCCCCAGATGGGACATTTGCTGCCCCCTCCAGTGCCCTGCTTAGAGTCTCCACAAAATTCAGCATTGATTCCAGCTGATGGACTATATTTGACTAGCAATAGTAAATAGTTCAGTAATTAGAGAAAGTTTTGGCAGGCATAAAAAGGTATAAAAATCAGGTAACTTAATTTTGGGATGCATTAATCTTCATCCCTTTTCATTTACAACATTTTTATAGTTCTGCAGACTGAGTTAAATGCTTTTTCTTCCTGCTTGAGGATCCAAAAAATATCAGTACCTTTCAGCATCTATAAACTTTCTTTCCCAGCCCACCATAATTTCTTTGTATTATAACTGGCAAGATAACTAATACCTTAACAGAAAAAAAACAGATTTTTAAATTTAATTTTTACAAGACTGTTTTGAAACAATTTTTTAAAAAGTACCAGTGCCCACCCCCCCCATCTTTTTATCTAATTTAACTTTCCTCTAATTTTCCTGCTAATATGGTCAAGGAGGTAGTAAGGTACTGAAAGATGTTTGAGTAAAGGAAACTGGGAGAAAAATGGGAGAGAGAAAAAGCTGTTTTCATTGAAACTTGACCAAGGAAATATTCTGTGAACATTTTAAATTTGGGGGAAAATACTTTGAATTTGGGGGCGGGGGAATAAGAAATCATGTGGCAGATTTTGGCCAGTTTCCACACAGGGGAGCTACTCCTAATTGTCCCAGCCTTTTGGTGTTCCTGGAGAATTACAACAAGGTTTGGGGGATTCTGGGAAAAAAATAAACCACGGGTACATCTGTCAGCTAAGATGATGTAGGGATCAGTTGTTTTCTATCTTCTCAACTTCCAGTGCACATGGTACACATGGATTTCCACTTAATGAGGAAGGGTAGGGGAGGTCGTCTCAGGAGCTGTTAGTGTGCTAGATTGCCACCAATAGATTTAAATTTTTTTTCTTAAAAAATAAACAAAACCCTAAATGCAGAATTTAAAGCTATCTGAATGCCAATTTTTACTCTCAGCTGTTGAATGATACTTGTCGTACCTCAATGTTTGGTTTGCTGCACAAATAACATAATAAATAAAGACTTTTTTAAATACTAAAGGCTTGCTCTATGGTCTTTGTGGTTTGTTTTTTTCCTCAGAGAAAAAATGGCTCAGGCATATGATTTTGCTCTGGATAAGATTGGCATGGAAATCATGTCATACCAGGTATGTTTTTTTAATGAAAAAACATTTTCTTTCTTGCTTTATAAGAAGTACAACTAAACATTGGTTTCATTATATGTAATATTTTTTCTCACATAGATCTGGGTGGATTACATCAATTTTTTGAAGGGCGTGTAAGTACCTTAAAAGAATTTTTTTAAGCTCAGTTAATGTAATGTTGATGTTCATACCAGTTATCATCTGTAACAGCTGACGTTAATCTCTCTCCCCACTATTTAGAGAAGCTGTAGGATCTTATGCAGAAAACCAGAGGATAACAGCTGTCCGTAGGGTTTACCAGCGTGGTTGCGTGAATCCAATGATAAACATAGAACAACTCTGGAGAGATTATAACAAATACGAAGAGGTAATCAAGAACATGAAATTTCCTTGTGACATTTTAAAAAAAAGAATCGTATAATTAAGTGTGGTGCCCAAACTGTATCCACTAAAGAATTATGTGTGAAAGAGATGGCTGGCAGTTTAAACACATTTTGTGTGTGCAGTATGTACTAAGACCTGTGGCAAAACTGTACAGGTACTTGAGTGATAATTATTTTTTATTTTAAAGTCTTTCTATAGGATACATTTAACTGTCCCATTTCTTAGTTGGCTCAGTAGAATTGCTAGTGAATTAGAAATCACTCGTAACAATGACAGAGAATATATTTAATGGAAGCTAGAGCAGATCAGCTGGCAATGCGGGCTTACTTCCCCAAGGAGGCACTCCCCTCCTTTCAGTTATAGTTGAACAGGGTAAAATGGCATTCAGCTACGATGGTTTGGACTTCCTTTGTGGTATTAAGTTACATAGTCTCAAGCATGTATAAAATGTTCCTCACCATCCTTCACCTGAAGCCATTACAGCCTCAGTTCAGGTGAGCCTGCTATCACGCAGTCTTCAGCAAGCGTAACCTCAACTCCTTGCCCTTGCATGCTAATTTGTAGCTACACCTTTATAGTGTATTTGTAAACACATTTAGCAATGGCTTGTTAAGCTGTCCCCGTCAGCAGAGGTGTGAATGCAGAACTGAGAGTAGATGCTCTCCTGCTCGGCACCCTCAAGCACAGATGCTCATATAGCACTCCGCTTGTCCTGCTTACTGCACCAGGGTTGCAGATGCCAGCATGCTGTGGGTCAGCTGTGAACTGAGCCAGAAAGAAGGGACAGTTTCTCTTTCCTTGTTGCTAATTACGGAAGTTGCAGGATTGGTGACCTGGCACTAATAGGGCCACTGTGCTTAGCCATGGGAGTACCGCCTGGCATCCACAGCCACGAGTGTGTACTGTAACAGCTCATCACCGTGTCGGTACTCAGGGATACCACAGATAGCCTGCTGACCTCCAGGGAACATACCCAGCGACGTGCCTCCTCCTCTGGAGGAAAATCCCCGTACAACTTCCCTGTCACCCTCCTCTTCCCCTCCCACATAGTAAGTGAAGGCTGATGCTGCTGATTCCTACTACTTTCATTAATAGGTAGGGAGACTCTCAAAATGATAGCTGAAACCTGTCCTACATTCATTCTATATCTTCTTCTAGTTGAGGCAGCTCTGGCTGACACCTGTAACACAAACCAGTCCCTCGGGCTGTTCAGAGTTGCTGGAAGCCAAGGGCCAGTGCTCTGCTTGGACGCGGATTTCTGCACATCTGTTGTGGCTAGGCTGGCCTCAAGGGAAAGTGCTGCTGATTGCAGGTGTCATGGCATGGGGAAGGATGTGCTGCTCACCAGAAGGGCTCTTTGAGGGCAATATGATTCCCCACGTCAGTAGCCCAACAACACAGCAATCATGTGCAGGTCTCAATAAAAAGATTACTGGCTGCCAAGCTTCCCTTTAGCTCAGTTAGTAGCACTGAGTAGCAATGTCAGCCTGTCAGTCACCAGTATCTTTAATTCAACACGTAGTCAGAAGTGGTAACACCCCTAGTGAGACAGAGAAGTGACAATCTTTGGCTCACAAAGCTGCACGGCTGCACCTCATGAGGCTGGGAGTGCGTACTGGGAGAACATTGCTGCGTCCTCAGCCTGGTCCTGGGTTAAATGGGGCATTGCTGGCTTTGTATGCTAACTGGCCCAGATAGCCGTCTCTTCAGCGCTCTGTGTGAGTCCAGATGGTACCTTGCTGCTGGACTGAGTCAGTACGCAGCTCAGGTGCCTGTTTGGAATAGGACTGAAAGCTGTGCTCACATTCCTCAGTCCTGACAACCACGCCTGCAAAATCCACTGGGATACAGGCTTGAACAAAAAGGCGGTTGCTTATCTTGCCATAAGAGTGGTTCTTTGATATTTTGTTCATGCCTGGGACCCCGTGACCAGGCCTGTGTTGCTGATGCCAAGGCGGGGCTTGTACCTGGGCACCTGGCAGCCCCAAACCCCCTGCTGCTCTTGTTCAGCAGCGTGGCTGGGCCTTCTGCGCATGCGTGCGGTCCTGGAGCGGTATTGCTCTGCGGTGACAGGTCTCAAGTCTCAGCTGACAAAGGTACGTGTATGGCAGGGTGTATATTGAATAAAACCTCTTTTAAAAGCTGTCTGTTAACTTCAGGAACAGAAGAGAAGGCAGAGCTTGGAGCTTTGAGGTCAACCTCTGTTACTACTTGTCCAGGAAAACTGACCTGCTCATATGCTGTCTCAGTCTTCACTTGATCAGCAGCAGCAAGGCAGGGAGCTCTGACTCTGACTAGGCATTGACCAGGATTTAAAAGGAAACATGTAAATCACAAATATTCTTTCCACTTTCTCCCCCAGCAGATTTATGTAAAGTTCACTATATTTTTGAAAGCTGTGATTAAAAATATACTGAGGTACTTCAGGGCAGCTGATTTTGAGTAGTGAGTTTATTCTCTGATAAATAAGCTCTTGACCATTTGTGCTAAGTGTATTAGGAGAAATGCAGTAGCTTTCGAGATCAGTGTTTTAAAACAACTTTGCCCTTGCTTGCTTTTGCATCCCCTTTCAAGCTCTTTTTTGTATGAAATGAGAATCAGTCATTGCAGAGTGAAATTGCACATTCCCAGTTCCTTTTTTCACCCTTCTCCAGGGCATCAATATTCACTTAGCGAAGAAGATGATTGAAGACAGGAGTAGAGATTATATGAATGCACGACGTGTAGCAAAGGTACAGCCTTCTGTTGACTTTTCTTTGTTCTATTTAATTCTACAAACTAGCATTAAACTTGGTTTTTATTTTCAAATAAAAGTGTGCGTTAGACTAATAACGTTGGTATGCTACAATATTTGTATCAGTTTGGTAAAGCATAACCTAAAATAAGCATTTAATGTGCTGAAATCTGCTCTGCAAAACATTGCTTCTGTTTCAGGAATATGAGACAGTGATGAAAGGTCTGGACCGCAATGCTCCCTCTGTCCCCCCACAAAATACCCCACAAGAGGCTCAGCAGGTAGACATGTGGAAGAAATACATCCAGTGGGAAAAGAGCAATCCTCTGCGTACAGAAGATCAGACTCTCATAACAAAAAGAGGTAATTAGATCCTGCGCTAGGACGTGTAGAATTGTATTTCTTAGCTCCGTTAATGACCTCCAGTGTAAGTAATGATGTGCTTCAGTGTTCAGGGATCATGCTGTAGCAGAAGTTGATCAAGTTTCTTGAATTTTTGGGCTATTTCTTTTAAACTACTGTTTAATTTTTGCTCAAACCAAGCTGAAAGCAATACATGGATTTTGGGGTACAGTGCTATAGTCGTGTGCCACTGAACCGTGATTGGAGGTCAGGAAACAGTGGATTGCAGCCTGATTTCATGGCTGATGTTCTTGAATGAGTTCTGCTTCTTCCGCTGTGGAGGAGGCAGGTTTTAGCTGGTGGTTATAATTCGTAAAGTTCCTGGCAATTAAATAACTGCAGTTGTGATCATTGTATTCAAAGCTAATTAGTGTTAATATTGCCCAATTTATTTGCTGGTTTTTGTATTTCATACTTCCATTGTGCAAGACGGTACCATTTCTGCGATAACATACAAGGAATGTTTCTCTCATTTCCCCCCCTAGTTATGTTTGCCTATGAGCAATGCCTTTTGGTTCTGGGCCATCACCCAGATATCTGGTATGAAGCTGCACAGTACCTCGAGCAATCTAGTAAACTGCTAGCTGAAAAAGGGGTAAGCAGATTGCCATTGGTTTTCTTTCCTATTTCATTGCTTTGACATGGTGTACTGTTAATTTTTCCTCACATATTTAAGAACCAAGGAGGAGAGTGTAAAGAATATTTAGCACCATAAGTTGTGTCATGCTCAGAATTTTAAAATTTGGGCTATTTTAAGAAATAAAAATATTTGCATTTCAAATAAGAATTACAAAAAAATATTGCAGTGTTGGCTGGTTTTGGGTCTGGTGGGTGGGGGAGGTTTGGCCTGACTTTGTGGTTCCTTAAGCACTGGGGAGATGATTTTCTCTTTGTTGGAGCACTGCATGGAAGTTCACTGGGACTTTTGACACATGTAAAATATTCCATAGATTTGCCTTGTCACAGATGCTGAACAATTATATTATCATACTTATTTTATAACAGGACATGAACAATGCTAAACTTTTCAGTGATGAGGCTGCTAATATTTATGAAAGAGCGATCAGCACTTTATTAAAGAAGAATATGCTGCTTTATTTTGCATATGCAGATTATGAAGAGGTGAGCAAAAATAGTGATGTAACGACGTTAAAACCCAAAGACCTCTCTCAGCGATAACGTCATTTATTTGAAACATACTGAATACACAGAATTCTATAGAATTAATTTACTGATTCTTGTAGCCTTAACCTTCACTGTTTCTGAGACTGAGCTGACAAAATGGAAAGGAAAAGCCCATAGCATGAGTTACAAAATTTTTGAAAATTGTCTTTCCACTTAAACATTGACTATATTTTTCATATAACTATGAAGTTGAAAGGTGAAAGATTTACATTTACCAGAGCATCAGCTTCTTCACGTTTAAAATGGGGATAAAGAACACTTTTCCTATCTAATTCTTGGGGGTTTCATGTTTATATTTGCATGGCTGTGAGGGAAGATGGAAGGCACCCTGTACAGCAACTTTCTTGAGAAACCTTTTTACCTAGGCTGCCACCGTATTGCACAGCCTCCATAATGAGTAGTGCCCTGACAATGCTTGGTTTTGCACATGAACCATCAGGAATAAAAGCCTTTTCCCACTGATCAGATGAGGGCTATGAAATCCTCTGCAGGATATATTTTGCCCACTTACCATAACATGGAAGAGTCTTTGCAGGAAGATCCTGAGGACCACAGCAAAAAAACCCCTTTGTTCTTAAAGAAAAAACCCAACCTTCCTTGGCTTTCAGTGCAGCCTCTTGTATCCTAAGTGTACTAGCAATTTAAATTTTTTAAGCTTGCACAATACAACTTGGAGGGCTGCAGCTGGCAGGGAACAGAATGGATTATTTGATATGTGTAGGTTGGAGAGTGACCAAGGTGGTTTTTCTAGCTGTCTGCACGTTACTTTTAGACGGAGGTAAAGGAAACAGTCGTCTTATTGCAAACACCTAGAATGGTAGTTCTGCTGCAGTATTACTAAATTAGAGACTTCAGAGTTTCTTGAAAAGCACGTACCTGAGCACTAGTGAGAAATTCATGTGGGAAGTAAAGAAATGACTGCACAAGATAAAAACCGCATCTGAGTTAAGGGACTGGCATACATAGTGTTCAACTGGGGAAAAAAGGAAACAGAAAAATCTTAGGTTTTTCTTCAGATTGATTTTTGCATTCTCACAGGTGATTTGTGGTAGTATTACTAAGCAGTCTGTATTTCCTTTTTATTTACTTAGAGTCGAATGAAGTATGAGAAAGTACACAGCATATATAACCGACTCCTGGCTATTGAAGACATTGATCCCACTCTGGTAAGACGATCCTTAGTATTGAGTTTTTCTTCATTTGCACGGACAGTCACCTGAGTACCCCCAAAGAATGGGGAAGTACTTAGAGGAGTTCATTGGGTCACAAGGATGATCGAGCAAGTGGAGTATTGAGATGACAGGATTAGATTAAAATTTCACCAAGGGTGATGATTATAGCCTTTAATCCACTTAGATACACTAAGTTGTGTGCGCTTTTCTCCTAGGTCTGTTTTGGAGAATCTCATAAAACAAGCAATGAAGGTGTGAGATATTAAAGATTTCATGACGCAGCTCATAAGAATTGGTGTATATTTTGTTGGTTCAACTAAAACTTCACTTTGCCTCCCCTTAACTGATTACAAGCACGTTGCCTTTGCCTGTTGTTCTCCCCATGTAGAAATACACCGTACTGTGTACATAGAGTTTGGAAATAAATGTGTAATGTACCATATAAGTATCAAAGAGTATTACTGTACATCTGCTTAAGTGATAAAGAACATTGTAGTGCCAGCTGTGCTGGTACTGAACAAAGGGTGTGAGAAAGTAACCTACCCTCCAAAAGTTATTTAGTTCATATATAGACACGACAAAGCATGAGAAGGAAAAAAGAAGGTCTGAGGTCTCAAACTTAAACAACAGGTCAGTGTCAGAGGAAAGGTATCCATTTACTGATATGTTCTAGTCATTAAATACAGATCATAATGCTTCCCAAATACACGTTTTCTGAGAAACCAGTTCCTCCTATTTGAGGAATGCTGTTATTTGTGATCTAATTCAGAGTGGAGGAAAGTTAAATCCCAGAGAAATGAAAATCACAAATTGGCCATTGAATTATATAGCACATTCATTATTTCCTTGATAGGGCATAGTTGCAGACAGGATCATAAAAAGTATATAAAAAGCTTTGCCTCAGTATTTATAGCAAAACAACATAGACACACAAGAGAGTCTTGTTTCTATTTTGACTTATTAGCTGTATTCTGTGAGTAAAGATTATTTCAGATATAGTAAAAAACTTCATTATATTTTAGTATTTGTTAGCACTGATACTATATAAATATTAATATACACCTTAGGTTTATATCCAATATATGAAATTTGCAAGGCGAGCAGAAGGCATAAAATCTGGAAGAATGATATTTAAGAAAGCAAGAGAGGATGCCCGGACCCGCCATCACGTCTATGTTACAGCAGCTTTAATGGAATATTATTGTAGCAAGGTAATCACAGACGCTCAATTTGATATTAAAAAAGTGTCAGTAGGGTGCATAGCTCACCGAAGCTAATAACTGGGTTTTTTTAATGTTTGCAGGATAAGTCTGTGGCCTTTAAGATTTTTGAGCTAGGGCTGAAAAAATATGGAGACATTCCAGAATACGTACTGGCATATATCGACTACCTTTCTCACCTTAATGGTAAGCTTTAAGCTTTGAGAGGTCTAATGAAGCATTAATGTGCCTTCTCTGTGAGTTTAGGTTGAGGCCAAGTTGTTTGTATTTTAGTTTGAATTCTTCCTGAAGAGCAATGAAACCTTTTCATAAAACTCAGCAATTAATTTGGAAAAAAACCCTGCTGTTCTGTTACTGAAGTTCCAGAAGGGCATTGGCATCAGGTCTTGATTCTACTGAATAGAGGAGAGTGAACTTTCCAAACTGCAACTCACTTGCTTTGCAGGAGTTTTACAGCATCTGCTATGAGCAGGGGGGAGTACACTGAGACAGCTGAATCCCTGGGAAAAAGATCTATAGGAGGTTGAAATCAGCATGAGAGGAGCGATGGGTTAGTTGGTCCTCAAGTGGATGAGATGAGCGACATATAAAATCAACACTGTGAATATCAGTCCAGCTGGGAAGTTGCGGGGAGCTGGTTTGCAATGCAGAGGGCAGGGGAAGGGTACCCAGCTCCTCGGGCTGGTGGGGGGTGGTGGGGGTGGCAGAGAGCGTCTCTGCGGGATTCCCTGACGCAGGAGTGAACAGCGATGTCAGAAGAAACCCCAGCTGCTGTGGGGAGCCGGGGCTGACAGAGACCTTTGTGTGGGACTGTCCTGGCCCACATTTCATGGGGAATTAGAGAAGAGGCAGAAGAGTGGTTCATCCCAGGTTCTTCCTCTGCTCAGTCCTGTCTGCCAGATACCCATTAGATTTTCAGATTTCTTTGGGTATTTCTTCAAGCATTCAATACTCTAGCTCAGTCTGTGTAGCATAACACCACAAAAGTGTAACACAATCTGGGTTCTATTAGGAATTGCTAGCTCAATTTTGTGAGCCAGCCTCCATGCCGCAGGTGTGAACGATGGCTGCAGGTAGCTCTGCTGCTGGATCTTCTGTACCTGACGGTGCGTTCTGTAGGCACTCGGCACAGGAATCTCTCCTGTCCGACTACAGTACTCTCGCCCCCCCCCCCCCCCCAGGCTCTGAAAGTTTGAACAGATTTAGAGCTTTTTTTCCTCCTGTGAGCTGTAAACAGAGATATTTTTTTTCAAGTCAAAGTATATTTAATTTTGCAAGAAATTATTTTAGGTCTACATAAATATTTGCAATGCCTTTTCAACAGATTGCCATCAGAAAAAAATTATCTTAAAACTTGCCAGTGTATTGCTCTGTCTTAGCAACCCAGTAGACTTTATTGAAAAACAAAATTGATTGCTCAACTCCTGTAAATGTAAGATATGGTAAAACACACAGCGAGAGACAGGGCAGACACTAGCAATTTTAAGAACAAAACCACCAACCACTCTGTTCCCCCAACTGGCAATGTACAAAGGCTGACTCCTCATTGGGAACCAGGTCTAATAATTTTGGGAGGACTTCTGAGGAATATAGAAGCATATTAATATTGCCCTAATTTAAAAGGGAAGTAATGAATTGAAAGGCTAAATTTGAAATTACCGAGATATGCCATTGTGATAAAGAAAATGGAAAAAAACAAATGATCCTGAAGTAATGCCAAGCAATAGCTACGCTGTTGTAAAAGAACACCTATTAGGGTTGGTTTGTTGCTATCAACAAAAATAGACTTTCAAATAACAAATTCACAGTAGAATTTAACATTGGTAACATTTTATGTACGTTCAGATTTTTTCTCAACTTACTGAAATTCAAATCCAGGTATCAGAATGTCAGCCTTATATTTGATGTACACATTTCTTTGGAAATGATTTTAAGTTGTCTTAAATATATTTTACTCAGTGTGATTTTTCTCTTTTCTTTCTATTTTTAAAGAGGACAATAATACAAGAGTTTTGTTTGAACGTGTTTTAACTTCAGGGAGCCTTCCACCTGAGAAATCTGGGTACGTCTGCAAAAGCAGTTGCACTACACTAAAAAAGATACATAACCCCTTTCAACTACAAAGATCCCACAGAAACTAGAAAAAACGAACAGCAGGACAAAATTCAGTACAGATATTCCTTCCCCCCTTCATGCTGTCCAAAACAGCAACAACCATGACAGATTTGTGAACGTCCCTATCCCACTTGCAGTGAAATTCGTTAATTTATTGACTTTAAAGCCTCATTGACACAGGATTGCTGAGGATAGAGTGAGGATAGAGTCCTGCTCAGGAAGGATTCAGTGTTTGAGCAGGTGGTGTGGCTAATGACACATACTGCTCGCCATGAGGATAGAGTGAGGATAGAGTCCTGCTCAGTAAGGATTCAGTGTTTGAGCAGGTGGCGTGGCTAATGACACATACTGCTCGCCGGAGAGACGTTTTAGGTAGATGGGGAGAGGGAGTTGAGAAAATCTTTTAGGAGCATTATGTTAGAGAAGGTGAGTCAGGAATTTATTGAGGAGGATGCTGAGCAGCTCCCAGCCAACTGAAAATAAAATGGGGAAAGAACCAGAAAAGACTTGGATTAACCACTCACCGCCACATTTTCATTGCTACTTTATCAATTTATTTCTCTGAAATAATGCTTACCAAACCCTTTGCAGTCTAAGTGTTCAGCATTGTTATGCTGGTAGACATAGGCATCAAAACTAAGAAATCAAACATAGCACTGCTGTGCACATTCATTCCGCACTTTAATTCTGTCTTTCATGAGAAGTATTTTTATGTCCATTTTAAAAGTGAGAACAACCAAGAATGTAAAAGCTGAATCTTCTTCAAAGGTGAACTCCAAAACTAAAATCAAAGTTGAATCAAGTCCAGAAATATGGTCAGATGTTGCTTAAGTTATACATGAGATTTTCCACAGAGAAATAAGCAGTGACTGTATATATTTTGGGCAATGTAAAATTCTGAAGTGCCGCCTATTGTGTTATAGGGTATTGCTCTTGCCTGCTAGAATATGCTAGTGTATGGAGATGAACTAAATCATCACCTGTGTTGAAAAGTCCATCACACATCAGGAGCGGAGGGAAATTCTGTCTAGTGGGATGAGTAAAGTCCATTTGTGCATCTTACATTGAGGATAAAAGCTTACCTCAAATGCTGGAGTCATTCACTCCTTTCCATAACAATGTCCTTTACGATCCAATAGATTGAAAGCTTTTACAGAAATGTATCAGGCACTGGGAAGGTAATGCATGTTACAGATGCATTTAGAGTAAATAATAGAAACAGTCATGCGTTCCCAGATTGCCTCCTTTTGAATGTCTCGTGTGCTTTGTAATTGGGTCGCAATCCGTAATTCCTTCTCCTTCAGCAACTGTCTATTTATCTGTTCTTTTACAGGGAAATCTGGGCTCGGTTTTTAGCTTTTGAAAGTAACATAGGTGATCTAGCTAGTATACTGAAAGTTGAAAAACGGAGGTTTACAGCATTCAAGGAAGAATATGAGGGTAAAGAAACAGCTCTGCTGGTAGACAGGTATAAGTTCATGGATTTGTACCCTTGCTCTGCTAGCGAACTGAAGGCTCTTGGTTATAAGGTAAGTGGATAAGAACACTTAATTTTACTGTTATTTTCAGTCCTAGCAAACTTAAGCTCCTTCAAAACCCAAAATTCTTATGGAATTTTGTAGAATCGAGTCATCTGTATGAAACATCACTGGCTGTCCTTCTACTCCAGTTAGCAAAACTCCACTCATTTCAGTGAGAACTGTATCAAAACCAACATACTGCAGTCCCAATGATTGCTGCAAGTGGCTGAGGAAGATTACCTATACAAATTAGTGGCTGGCTGCTTTTTTCAGTTGTTTGTTACAGTTAAAGTGCTTCGGTGCTGCTATTCAGAATGTCAAGTCTAGGCCAGACACCTGTATGTGGTGGTCTCCCATCTCATTTCTAAGCACATGTATTTTAACTACTATTGTAGTCATGTGGAAGGCCATAACGCTTTGCAAAACCACTAGAACAGAATAAAATGTTGATTATTTTTTTTATTGTTTTGTTTAAGCATGATGTAAAATAGGCTGCCAGAGAAGCAGAAACACCTCTGTTGGAGGAACTGCTATTTTCCACTTGCATGAACAGGAAGAGAACCTTTGATTCACGTCTCAAAAATAGTGCCTCAGCTTCCGTTTATTTCTTATACAGAAAAGTAATTTTTGAAAAATACAGAAGTCATCCAAGTTAGCAAAGCAGCTGAATTGTTGGTCTTCACACAGTTGTAAAATAATCTGATAGGTGGAAGTAAGAGTCACATTGAACCACGGAATATTTTTCTTTTAACGCAATCAGGACAAGTTATTTTGAAGTTACAGGTGTAACTGTACTGTTGCGTGTAACATGCCAAAATATAATTCTATCTGAAGTGACGCTTTGCGGGCCTGCTGACTGCCTTATGCTTTCTTTCTTTTCCAGCTAAAGCAATCTAGAGAATGAAATGAGGGAGAAATGATAGTTGTGAAGGCCTAGTGGTCTGCACCTGTTCACCTAAAGCTTTTTAACCTAAAAAAAGGAGCCACTCAAAAATGACAAATACAGTCCCATTCGGTAACAAACCCAAGTGTTTCCACTCCCGGCTGGGACACTGTAGGACTAAAATGTTTGATGAAAACATGCAAGTTTTGCCCAGATGGTCTTCTAAGCAGACACCTGAAATTATAACGATGACAAAGTGAGAATAAGCGACTGGTCTAGAGAGATGTTTTGTTCTGCAATTTAAACAAGCACCATGATCCTGCCAAGTTCAGTGCTCTCTAATTGGCTTTTGCAGGATGTCTCCCGTGCCAAGCTGGCAGCTATAATTCCAGACCCTGTGGTTGCACCTTCCATCGTGCCTGTTCTCAAAGATGAAGTAGACAGAAAACCTGAATATCCAAAACCGGACACTCAACAAATGATTCCATTTCAGCCAAGACACCTAGCACGTAAGTCAGACGTTCACTTGGAAGTGGTTATATTTCCCCTGGTGGCAAGTTATTAACCTGTGTGTTTAGCGAACCTAATCACAGAGACTTTCCTAGTCTTCAGTCAGCAAAACATGTACTTAAATTTTAGGCTGTTATTTAATCAGATTGCTAAGGGCATACATATTTAACTTAATACCAAGATCACATGGAAATAAGTACAAGTAGTTTGGGGTCTGGAAAATGGTAATAAGCTGTTATACACGCTGCTCATAGACTTCAGATCACTGACTAAACAATATGTAATTAGTAGAGGCAAAAGTGACAGGGTAGTAATTACTTGCATCAAATAATAATGCTGCAAAAGCAATCAAGTCTAGCTGTCTTGCACTGGCTTCATACAGTTTTTCTGCCCACAGCTCCAGGTTTACATCCCGTCCCAGGTGGTGTATTTCCTGTTCCACCAGCAGCTGTAGTTCTCATGAAGCTCTTGCCACCTCCTGTTTGTTTCCAGGTTTGTTTTAATGAATTCTCAAAACTTCAAAAAGTTGTAGAAGAGATTCTGTTTTGACAGAACTCCAGTATGTATCACTCTATTGATAATAACCTTCTAAACTTTTTTTTGTGTAACAAATCAGGGTCCCTTTGTTCAAGTGGATGAGCTCATGGAGATATTTAGAAGATGCAAACTACCAGACAGTAAGTTATTTGTTCACTCTGGAGTCTGGGATAGTGCTACATATGACTGGTTTACATATGGATTTTGCTGTCCAAAATCCAGAGCTCATTTACAGATCTGCAGTTAT